AAATCTGGATATGTGCACATGCAGTTCGTGGTGGAGGGAAAATCAAGGCTAATAAAAGGTTGTCGGCAAAGAAAATGAGTAAAATACAGTGTTTGGCATCATGATTAGAGAGTCCACAAGGACAACCACTTTACTCACATAGGACAGTCTATAGGTGAGCCCCTACTAAGCCTTCTGTAGTCATAGATCTGTCCATTTTATTTCTAGAATAATTATATTAACAATAAAACACTCACTAGTGGTTAAAATATTTTTTTCACAGCTTCCAGTATTTTAGAACCCCCCCCCAAAATAATGTTACCAATCTACTTGCCTTTAGATGCCGGAAAGGTAGTGTGTTACTCACCCTACTGCCCACATAATTCTTCATAATATCTGGAAAATAGTAGAAGCACTGCTGCTGCTAACCAAAAAGCCAGTTTATAAAAAAGCAGGGGTAGGCAACCTTAGCATTCCAGCTGTGGTGAATCTACAAATCCCATCATACCCTTGCCTCTTGATGCCATGCCTGTGACAGTTAGAGCCTTACCATGCCTCATGGGACATGGCACAACAGCTGGCATGCCAAAGTTGCCCTGCCCCTGATATAAAGCATCAGACTGGTAAACCATCCCATTTTGTATTTGTCTATGTTTTGCATTTTGGCACATTTATAAATGTTTTACAGTTTATAAAGCTTCGAAATAAAACTCGGTAATGTAGCTTCACCTTTAAAATGATAATAGGACCCTGTAATACTCCATGTTTCTACAGTACTGACTTGCCAAGTTCATTAAGGCTAGGTTCACACCTGGGCGATCTGTGACCGCACGGCCATGGTGCATAAAAATGCGCGGATGGCTGCACGTTCATGGCACTGCCTACCACTGCTAATCGCCCTTGTGGTGCCATTATTTTCTAATGGCATCCCAGTCGTGCCAGGCAGATTGAGTGGTTTCCCACCATGATACAGCCCGTGCAATTGAACATGATCGCAGCTAAAAGAAAGCTGCATGTCGTGTGTTGCCTGCACGTTCATCGCATCGCCCACCACTGCGGATCGCGCTGGTGGTGCCATTATTTTCTAATGGCATCCCAGTCGCGCCAGGCAGATCACGGGGTTTTCCGCCACGATACCGCCTGTGCAATTGAACATGATCGCAGCTAAAGAAAGCTGCACGTCGTGTGGTGCAAAAACAGTACTTGTACCTTTTTTTTAGCGATTGCTGTGCAGGTGTAACCCCGTTGAAATCAATGTGGCTGCGGGGCAATCGCTCAGATCTGAACCTAGCCTGAATGAGGTCCCAAATAGCATTTGTTGTATCACATTAGTTTTTTGGGAGCATGTCGTGTCCCTAGCTATAAAAGAAAAAAAAAGGCCAGTGATCAGCAGCCAAGACAAGTGCACACCAGTGCTAGTTACAGCAGAAGTTGGCTTGCCGTGATGTGAACCTATGAGATACATATCGGAGAGCGGCTGCTCCATGGTTGTCATTTTAATTCTTGCTTCACTTTTATGGAATCACTGACCCAGATCAAGCATGCAAGAGGGCTTTCAGACCTTAATGGCTGAATGCTTGTTTCACCTCGGTGACTCACTAAAGGTCAGAAGCCAGCTCCTTTTTTAAAAAGAAACCAGCCGGTCCTAGATTTTTATCCTCTCGCTGAACAATTCTGGTTGAGAATTTAAACTGCTGCAATATCAGTCACCTCTTACACTCTTTCCTCTTTTCAAAATGCCTTCACTTGGTACCAGACCTCTACCTCCGGCTTTCATTATGTCAATAGCTGTCTGATGCATTGGATCAGACAGCCTATCTGCACTGAATTCTGCTAGCAGATTAACAGGACAAACAGCGCTTTAATGCGAAAAAGAAGCCGGTGTCGACAAACTTCACCGGTTTAAGCAAGCTTTGTGAAATATGTCAATTTATTTCTTTAAACTGCTTTGCAGATTTTATCAATGTTGCAAATATTAAACTTCTCAAAATTTAACAATGCATCTGTAGAAATCAGCAAGTTTCCTGGAAAAAAAAGCAAAACGGGCTGAGGTTCCAAAAGCTGTGGGAGCAGCCTTCTTGTAGATGTTGTAGATGAAGGAACAGCTGCAAACAGCAGCGGCAACTCCAAATTTGCAGGTGGAGGAACAGCAACGAAAAAACTGAAGAAAGATGCTGATTGGTTGCCATGCACAGCTGCTCCAGTTTTGATAAATTCTCCCCTGAGTATTTATTGTACAAATCAATAGACAGCACTGCTGCTCTCATCTGTGCGGTTACATGCGAACCGGTGATGGACCCAGCCCATTTGGTCCAGGGATGGCATATCTGGCCACACCTGATTGGCCAGCTTGTTTCCCGCTTAAAGCTGAACATACACCTTACAATCATCGCACGACTTTCGTTGTGCGTTGGTTGTTAGGTAATTAAAATCTCGTATGATCTGCCCATCTTGGACAGGCAGATTGTACTTGTGATCATCGCAAGCCCTCCCCGCTAAGGGGCGTGCTTCCGATGATTCCATTGCTGAGTGGGCAGTGTGCGCATTTGTCTTCCGAGCATGCCACTAACCCGCCAAAAACCTTACAATTTTCGGTAGGTTTTCCAGCGTGCTCAGAACACAAAAGACGCGTGACCGTACAGTAGAAACGGTTGCACGCCTTCCATACACCTGCCGATTATCATACAATCGCGGGATCACCCGCGACTATCGTACGATAATCGGCAGGTGTATGGGCACCTTAACACTTTGCAACTTTCTTTCTAAATTGACCATAAAATAAGCTTTATGAGATGGCGCAGGAGTTGCTCTTTTGAATATCATTAATTCTGTTCTTTTTGTAAGAGTTTTAGACATGGTCGTTAACATTTTAGACCTGCGAGATGATCCTCTAAATCTCGAAGTTTGAAAAAAATTTTGTTTCAATAAAAAGAACTTCATTATCACACATTTAAGACTTAAAGTGACACTAAATTTAGTGTTACAATCTCACGTTTAGTTTACTATTTTTGTTGAGATTGTAGTCCATCACAGGAGAGACCTTGGAACGGTGGCTTCTTTACAACACACACAGGGACTATGGGGAACAAAGTAGCCACCCTCCAGAAGGAAGGACAGTGAAAAGGGTCTGAAAAGAGCAGCCATAGCAACCAGATTCTTCCAGCGCAGGTTAGAATTAGTTGGAATGGATAACAAAGATAGGGTCACTGGAGCCTAATGTTTTATTTAATTTAAATACACATATTCCTATAGTCAGGTTGTTTCTATTTCACAGCATCTTTAATTTTAGGAGCAGGGTTGACATGGCATTTTTTAATTCAATCAGCCATTACTTTTCAGGAGCTGATGAGCAACTTCTAGTCATCAGGGGAATATCTGTTTCCACTGATAAGTTAGACGCAAGCCACAATTTTTTTTTTTTGGGGAACATAGGCTTAGTGACTCCTGAGATTTCTCAGTCCTTCGTGTGCACAGAACCTTGGCTGTAAACACTCACCAGAAGGAATACTGGAACATTTGGCAAACCGTTTCTAAAGCAGGTGACTGATGTTTCATTAATGTTCCTTAGATATTAATCCGTTAAACTTATCACTGGATTCACTTTTTGGGATTAACGCACTTAAAGGAAAAGAATTGGGATAGTAACACGTACTCTTCCTAACACTTGGAGCTTGCGTGTGACACTGCAGCTGTCACACCCTGGTTCTAGAAGTCGAGAACTGAATGATCACAAACTGCTAACTCAGCTCCTGGTCTTCTCCATGTAGAGAGCAATGACTGTCACCACCTCCTGCAGGGATTCCCCTCTCTGTTCCTGCAACACTCATTGGGGGGGACAGACAGGAGAGGGGGCGGGCACAGCTGGCTCTAGAGAGGCACAGCCAGCTGTCAATCAGCCAGCCAGGTGGATTCCAACAATATTCTCGGGATCCTTGCCGGCTGCAGCGCGGCTCTGCACTGTCGGCATATAGCGGACAGTAGCCTGCTATGTACTGACCTTGGGTCACAGAAGTATATTAGTAAATGCACTCCTTTGACCCAAAAGAGGAGTAAAGCCAAGAAAATGGTTTGGCTTTAGTTCTTTTTTTTAAATGCACTTCTGCATACACCTAAATGCCAAACTGAAAAGCTTAAATGAAGCAGTTTTTTTCAGAAAAAGAAAAAAAGATCCTGGCCTTATACAGTGTCCGTGCCAGGGGAATAGAGTTTTAACAGTTCATTTCTTACTAAAATTACACAATAATATATTTCAGTTTACAAACCACATCAGAAAAATATTTTCTCTGACCGATAAAATAAAAATCAGTAAACTTTGGAACCAATAATATTCTAGGTACCATAAATAATAAAAAGTAGCAAAGCAACGTAGACACTCTTCTTCCATAATACATTGTGAATATTCCAAGTGTTAAAAGTAGAAAAAAAAACTGTATAAAATAAGGCACATCAAACAGGGCTGTCCAAAACTCCTTCACCAGCCATCGCTAACGCAGATCTAACATTTATGGTCCACATAAGTCACGTTTCACGTGCAATATCTGCCAGCTGGAACATTAAAATTACATGGACAAAATAAAAATTCAGAGCAGAAGACAGCTAAAAACTTCCACTTTGTACAAGAATTCCTGCAGAGCATGACAAATGCAATGGTCTGCTTCAAGCTGTGGTTAAGGAACATGGTAACGGACTTCATTTTTGCTGGTCTCGGCTTTTTGTCTTGTATTCTGGACAAGAAAAACCTGCTGTCGCCGAGAATGCCAAGGCATGCATCGTGCTGTAACAGATGGCAGAGAGTAGATATCCACAGTGTGGTCCGCTATAAAGTGCAGGCTGCAACGTTCCTCCCTCCATGGTTTTTCATTAAAAAAATTACAGAAAATTGTATACATCTAGGAAAAAAAGTTGGCCACACTGAAGCTTCGCTTAAGATGCCTTCACAGGAGAAGAACTGTGCCATTTAGGTCTGTAAATCATGACATTTAAAAAAAAAAAAAGTGCACTTGAAACATTCTTCAGCACTCTTGAAACATTCTTCAGCACTCTTGAAACCGTGATCTTGATTAGAAGTAGTGCTTTCTGATTGGACAGATCAGCATTTCCAAGGCTTCTTGCCCGCACCTTTGTTCTCCGGGATGTGGAGGAAGCGGCATTTGTCTCCATAAGTGCAACCATTGGCCCTCCAGTAGTAACATTCACTAGCTTTGTATGGTACTTTCTTCTTTGCACTAAAAAGTAGAAAAATACACATTGTAGTCAAACTTGGTTCACAAAGGTTTCATTATTCCCCTTTTGGTATTGTTATATGGTACATTTAAAGTTGACTCATCATTGCACAGGCCGGGAGCACTGTGGGGAGTGCAGAGGGACCCTCCATTTGTATACTAATAAACAAGGTTTTTTTTTATATAGATATTATACTAGTAGACTGAGAAATTAAATATACTTATTATAAAGCAGTATACGAACAGACCGCACTATCCAGAGATTTCCTTTGGCTATACTTATTATAAAGACACACACATTATATACTTAAAAAAATGTAAAGATGGAAATCTTCTTTGTACAGCACTGTGCTAACTGTTGGCGCTTTATACATCCTTAATAATAATAGTTATCGTTATTATAAAAATTATTATTGTTATCTTCAGCAGTATTCTTATTATTATTAGTAGTATTATTAATCATTACTTTTATCATTATTTTCTTAATTATTATTATTAGCAATGTTATCACTGCTGAGAAAGTGGGGTCAGCATAGTTCATGGATTATTAAATACCAATATTGGTGTCTGCCCTAGGTATCACTAACTGCTAAGGGCATTATAACGTTTACAATAGAAGGCAGAAGCCCTCGACTAGATATAAGAAAGGGAGAGTAATCAGCTTACAACTAGCTAAGAGGCAGAATACAAGCAAAATGTCAGCAAGAGCTTTAGCCATTACACTGCCGCATATTAATGGGAGGCTGGCTGTGGACGAACGTCAGTAAAACAGGCACGATTAACCATGGGGTATAAGCTTTTCACAGACATTATTCAGAGGACAGAAGGCTGTATCTTAAACAAATATTATGGCAAGGAAGCATTTGCACCTCCGGTATGATCATTAACAGAAGCAGGAAATAGTCTATTACTAATCAATCAAAGGCCAGACTGACATGGCCTGCATCCAAATGTCGCATCTCAAGGTCTAATGACTAATAACACAGAAAGGGGAATTGTTCAAGAATAAAAAGGGATTAAACTCAGTTTTTGCATAGAAAGTTTAAAAGAACTCTGTTATGATAGATATAGGAAAGCTGCCATTGCTGACCTCCTGAAAGTGCTTGCATTGATCCTGTGGATTCAATGCTTGCCAGGTTAATGAGCTAAACGAGTAGGCATATTGAGACTTCTCCTGCTGCTTACTTGTATTGGTCAATGATTCAGGGGGTTCAAATTTCATGGTAGGGAGATGAAACCCGCTGTCTACCTTTTGTGTGGAAGGATCTGAACATTTCTCAGATTTTAAACCCTCCTTTGGGCCCAAAATGGCCATGTCGGGTGTCGGTGGGGAGAGCGGAGGGAGATCAGTGAACATCTGTTCACTGAGCTCCCCTCCGGTTAATAAGCCAAACAAGTAGGCATATCGAGGGTTCTGACTTCTCCTGTCGCATACTTGTATTTGTCAATGCTTCAGGTGGTTTCAATTTGGTGGTAGGGAGATGAAAGCCGCTGTCTACCTTTTGTGTGGCAAGATCAGAAAATGTCTCAGATTTTGAAATCCTCATTTAGATAAATAGCCATAAATAAAATTCCAGATTTATCAAGGTTCCATTATAAAGTGGAGCCACGCCGGGCCCCTAGGTCAAGGAGAGAGTCACTTTGAGAAAGGGGCCCTGCATGGCTCCGAAATGTTGGTGGTTATCCTTTTTTATTTGCGCACTTTCTTTACACTCTTCATGCACTTTACAATGGAACCTCAACAAATCTGGACTTTTGATGATTATTCCCTTTTAAATTGTTGGCTATTTGTCTAAATGTGCTTTTAATATGGTGTCACCGTTTGTTGTGCACTCTCCATTAGGGAGACAAGGGTGCTGGGTGGATTGGACTAATCAGGATTAAACCCTATCTCTGCCACGGGTGGAAGTATGACGTCTGTAGCAGCAGGGAACTGTAAAGGGACTCCAGGCTGCTATAACAGTCGCAAGTGTAATTACACTCCCTCGGCCAACTGTCTGCTTTCAGGTAGAAGAGATCCCCCTCTCCTCTCCAGACACACACACTTATCCTAGGCTCCACTGTCCCTTTTTGTTAACTTTCCTGTCATTCACTAATCTCCCCTCTGATGTATAATCCAGAAAGCAATGAGGAAAGAACCCCCTGCCATGTATTCCGGGCTTCGGTGCCCCTTCTGTGGGCCCACAATGGCCTTGGCAGGTGTCAGTTAGGAGAGGGGAGGGAGATTAGTGAACAGCCATTCACTAATCGCCCCTCTGGTGAATGAACCTGGAAGTGAAGGGGAGCGAACTCTCATTAGTCATGAGCTTCGCTGCCCCTCCAGTGAGCCCAAAATGGCCATGGTGGGTGTCGGTGGGGAAAGCAGTGAGAAATCGGCATACATTTATTCTCTGATCTCTCCTATGGTGAATGAACCCCCACCATGTGTGTCAAGCTTTGCTGCCCTTCCTGTGGACCTAAAATGGCCATGGCAGGTGTCGGTGGGGAAAGTGGCAGCGAAGCCTGGGATAAAGGTTGGGGGTTCATTCCTCAATTGCTGCCATGTTCATTCCCCTAGGGAAGATCAGTGAATAAATGTTCACTGATCTCCCTCCGGTGAATGAACTCCCTCCCTCCGGTGAATGAACTCCCACCATGTATCATGGGCTTCACTGCCACAACTGCAGGCATGAAATAGTCATGGTGGGAAGAGCTCTGGTGAATGAACCCAAAACTCCCAAAATCAAAATATACATACCAGGTAACATTTAGTTTTGTAAAGACATTTGGTGCACACAAAGCAGAAATATATATTTTATATATATACAGAACTCTATTTCAAATAAAATATTTGTGCCCGTTGTTCAACTTTAACCTCACAGGCGGTCTGAGTATTTAATTTTTTCCCCCTTTTTTTGTTCTATTTTCTTTTCATTTTTCATTCCCGTTACTTTTAACTTTTAAAATTCCCAGCGGTTCCGCCCCCTTGCGACGCGGATGCTTGCAAGGGACGGATACCGGCATCGGCCAAAGGACACAGCGCTGGAGGTACAAGGTAAGTAAAGCTACGCTGTAATCCCGATGGTGGCTCGGGAATACCGCTTATGGTACTGAAAATCAACCCCGAGCCACACTCGGGAATACCGCCAAGGAGGTTAAATAAAACATGTTTTTTATTTAAAAGAATTGATGTTTAACCTTAGCATAAATGCAAGCATATTCTTTCTGGGATAACTTTACCAGCTCACTGATTGGTGTCACTTGTTGCCTGGAGATATTGTTTAAAAAAAAAAAAAAGAAGAGAAACTATTCTCTTTTATCATGCATGACCACAGCATTTTACTTACAGGAATGCTGCTCGATGGACACAATTACACAAAATCCTGAGCCAGAGAACTCCCAAAGTACCAAACACAGCAGTGCTTATTACCGCAATGTTCAGCTACTTCAGAAAACTTACTTTATTGCAGCTGCCTTGGTTTGTGCTTCAGAAGTGGTCACAGTTGTGGGTCGGTAAGGCTTGTCTGGGTATCGGATCAATAACCTTGTGTTCTCGATTTCTTTACCCTGTTGATAGGAAATAGAACAAACTGTAAACTTGTATTGCTGTTTTACACCATAGAAAGTTGCTGTAGTGGAAAAAGCAACATATCGAACCAGGGCAGAGAGCAAATTTGTCAAACCAAAACTAATTAAACGTGTAAAAAGAATTCTCTTGGTATTTCTATACCGGCTCCATCCTACCGGCTGACCTCTACCCGCCTAACCATTTTTGATCACCATTTTTCAAGAAATATAAACCCCATTCAATGTCAATACCTGTTTTTAGCATTTTTTTTTTAATACAAGATTTTAATAAATAGAGTCAGTTATAGTTACATTTGTCAAATGTTCTCTTTGTAAAAGATCATCTTGAAATGCTAAGGTCTAAAATGAAGCCTACTTGTGCTGACCCTAGCTAACAGATACAAGCACTGGGGGCAACATGTACATTGTGCTTGGAATAAACCTGCATATGTTTGCAAACATCCATTAGATCATTAAAAAAATATACATCACATATTTTATGTAACTGAAATAACTAAAAATGTCTGTTGTAATGGGAAGAGACTGGAAGGCAGCATGTTATTGAAAATGATAGATACTGAAATATAGAATGCAGCCCAAAAATGAATGCACAATCCAAGCCTTATACTTGAGTTATGACTGCATCAGGAACATAGTTCTGCATGAGCTCAGGGCATGGCTCTTGAGCCCGTCTATGGCACTGTCTGCTGCTTGTGTGGATGTTATGGGCTTCATTTATTAAAACTTGCACGGTGCTGAGGTGTATAAACAAAAGTTGAATGCACACAATGTGTGTGAACAGCCATGGCAAGCAGCGGCAGTTGCTGTCAGATTTGTACTCAATGGCTGGTGCCTCTGCTGTTCGCATATAACAGTTTATCATCCCATTAGTGCAATTTCAAAAGTTTTTGTTCTTTTTTAAATCTGACAAAAATTTTTTTTTAAATCGCAAAATTTTAAATGAAGTAACAATTTGTAATGCCATTGGGCATCAACGACAAGACAAGCCTATGTATAAGAAATGTCATACATCTAGATGGAGCTGAAGTGGTTGGCCTCTGCAGACACTTACCTGCAGTCCCTCCAGTGCATTGGCTGTAGCAACAGGACACTTAAAGTTAACAAAAGCACAAAAACGTTCGCCAAGCAGTCGGACGCTATGAATTTCACCGTAACTAGGTAAAAAACACACAAGAAGACACAATTAACATTGGTTTGTGCATATACGTGCAATATCTAATGGAGAAACTAGAATTTGATTTTTTTTTTTTTTATTTGATTTGACCATCAATCAATGATGCACAGCAGTATTTTGCCTACAAGTATTTTTTGGCTGTTTGTAATAGAGCAGCTGTGTGTATAGCCACTTCAGATGGTCATAACCAGCCAACTCATTCTTCCTGCAAAGTGCCTGATAAGCCCACGGATTGGAACTCCACTGTGGCCATGCTGCAGCAGTTGCACTTGCATCAGTTGGCCATCAATGAGTATGGCACGAAGACAGGAATCTGTGATCTGTTTTGTTTTTTTTTTGTCCCATTAGTGGATCCTCATTCAAGATGCACGTACTGTTGTCACCGATGAAAGAGGAAACCAGAATGGTGAGCCACAACAAGGTCAGCGTCATGATCTCTCTCATTTTCCTGCTGCAGCACACACTACGTGGTGTAATAGACCTGGCACTAGAGACACAGCACCGTATTCTAATGTCACTCCATTATTGAAAACCTATCACTCAGCTGTAGATCCTCACATCATCTCTGAATTTGTGCTGATTCTATCCTCCCTACTGGAGGGTGGCTACTTTTGTTCCCCGTGGTCCCTGTGTTAGTGTCACTTAAACCGTGCATGCAAAGCCAGCAAACATAGGAAAATGTAGATTCTCCTACTTTGGAAAAGACCCAGACCTTCAAAATCAGCAGACTAGGCAAAAAGTACTCGTTGCAGAATGTGGCACTTCAAATACAGAAACGTAAAGCTCAAACTACCAAAACAGTGGAAATGGATAGGTATGAGGAACAGGGAAATAGATTCCCTTGCAATGAGGCTGCTTATTTACACCTAGGGAATAAGAAAAAGCAGTTTTACTTATTTATCCTCTGCTTCCTCAGCGTTCTCCTCTTCTCCCCCACCCCCTGCTCTTTGGCTGTAGACTGGCCCTCAGTGCCCTCTCCTCTAATGCAGGGCTATGGAGCCTGCATTGCATGTCATGACATCGGTGGTCCTTAGACCACCAGAGAGAAGAGGCTGCAGGCAATGATCTAGAAGCCTGGAGGCAGCCAGCAGGATCAGTGCCAGCAGGATCAGTGCGGAGGCAATCCTATTGGAAGGCAAACTTTCAATTTCCCTGGAGTTTGCATTAAAATAGACATTTCCAATCGGCCAGAAACATCTATGTAGCATCAGGATGAGTAGTTCCCAGGTAAATAATCAAATCAAAACTTTTAAGCAGTTAATTTTTTTTAATTATTATTACTGTATATGGAATTGCATATTTAATGAAAAATTATTTTTATGAATTTGTATATAATACAGTTGTTATATTATTTTAAGGGGATGTTTTTGTACATTAGCCCGTGTGTATGTACTAAATAAATTATATATCTAGATATATCTATATAGATATATCTAGATATATATCTATATATATATCTAGATATATCTATATATACACAGCTACACACATTTATTTATTTATTTATTTATTTTATTTAAAAAAAAACCCTTTTAGTTTATATGTGGCTGGAGCTTGGCTTTAGTATTCCACAATCCATTCTGGGTGAACTCCTACTTACCACAGTTTCAAAGGAAATGGCTTCAAGTAACAAATGTGTTAATTTCAAGGCTAATTATCCAAGAAGGACTTCGCTAATGAAATGAGACCACAAATCTTCAGAGTCTGCAGGTACATTTATTTTGTCTCAGTGAATAGTTTGCAATCTGTAACACGAATACATGCCTAGCGATACACTTGATACTCAACGGCCATTTCTAATATATAGAGTTGTTCTTAGCAGAGCCTTCAAATTAAATTTTAATTGGTGGGGTGAAATACATGGCTATCCCCATTAAAATAAGAAATTATTACAAATACGATTTAAGAAATGTGAGCAAAAAGCCTTCCTTTTACTTGGAGCTTGTCTTGAAAATAATTTCACATTGAGAAGTGTTATATACACTCCCTAGTGTAGGGGGCTGCTTATGGGACAAGCTCATGAGCAAATGGATGCATTTAGACGGTTGCACTTTAACGCCTGCTTCGGGCCTATGTGCTTTCCATACATTGAGTGTAAACAAACTGTACAAATAAAATAAGACTGTATCCTAATGGAGCATGGGTCACCACAACAGTGTATTTCAGGGTACACATGCTCCATAGCCCTGTATGTAGTGAGATTCACTAATTCAAAGCCAGTATTTGGAATAGATGTTAAATAGGGATGTCCCGATACAGGGCATTTTCACGAGTACTTGTGAAAATGCCCTGATACTGGCCCTTTAAATTTTTAAATCGGATCGGCCGCCTCAGGTCCCGCGCTTGAGGGGTCCTGAAGCAGCCTTCTGGGGACCTGGCGGGATCTGTCTCACACTGCCAGCCAGGTCCCACATGCCCTCCACCTCCTTCCTGGCACAGGCATAGCTCAAGGCAGCCCCACACCGCAAATAAAGCCACGGTGCGGGCACGAGACCGGCACTCGCTCTGTTTGGCACTTGCTCAGCACAGCACCTGTCAGAGCCATGGAGAGACCCAATATGCAGCCCTGCTGACATCTGTATGCAGCCATGCAGAGACCCAATAAGCAACCCTGGTGAGATGTGGACGCAGCTCTGGTGAGATCTGGAGTCCAGATGTCACCAGGCTGCGTCCAGATTCTGAACACAGCCTGTTGAGGTCTGTCTGTATTTAGCTCTGGTGAGATGTGTATGCAGCCCTGGTGAGAAACTGCCCTAAAATCATTAGTCTGTATTGTTTTAGAAAAAAATTTCAATGTCCCTTTAAGAAAAAGTATCGGTAATTAGTATCGGCAAGTACTTGGTCTTGAAAAAGTGGTATTGGGACATCCCTAATGTTAATGAAGGCTTTATATGTACATTATTTTGCATCCAAAACATCTAGTAGCACAATATGTTGAAATCTAAGACTAGCTAGTCGTTTTCAGTCAGTACAGCTGCTTGGATGAGTATCCAAAAGCCTAAGTGTCAGGAACATACCCCAGCCTTTATATCCTCATGGGTAACTCAGTTACCTTAATGACGTCAACATGGAATATGCCAAGGTTAATTTTCTGTGTCCACAACATAATGGGAGGTGTGAACATTTTGGAAACTACCCTGTCCTATTAACATAACCCAATCACCATGTGGCCATGAAGGCTGGTACAGGTGGTATTTGTGACATGGCTGAAGGTGTGAACTGTTGTCGAATAATGGAGTTAGGGGTTTTAAAATGGCATTATACACTACCTAGTCAAAAAAAAGTCTCACACTAATATTTTGTTGGCCTTTAGCTTTGATTGGTTTCCATAAGCTTATGCAATGCAATGCAACAACATTTATTTCGATCCAGAGCTGTTACAATTTTTCACCAAGGTCTTGTAGTGAAGATGGGAATAAAGTCTTCTCCAGCATATGCCAAAGATTCTCAAAGGGGTAAGGTCTGGACTTCACAATCTGAGCCCTTATGAATCCAGGCATTGTCATGGAATATGCCTACGCCATCAGGGAAGAAAATAATCCATTGGTGGAAAAACCTGGTCATTCAGGTAGGCAGCTGAACTAATTTTTTTGGGGACATAACATTTCTGAACCTAGACTAATTATCCAATGGAAGGCTATGACCTATTTGTTTAGCTAAATCCAGTTGATTACTTTTTTTTTTTTTTTTTGGCCAGGCAGTGTATGTGGCTGAGAGATGGATTAACAAATAGTATATTCAGTAATAGTTCAATTTGCAAAGGAATTTTCCCTTAGCTTCCCTGAGGTGAAGTTCTGCTGACCACCATCATCCAATCATGCTATCTAAGCAAATTTGTATTATTTTCTTTCCTTGCATGTGATTGGGTATTCTTGCAAAGTGATTTTTCAGCATATCCACTAATTACATAGTTACATAGTTACATAGTATTTGAGGTTGAATAAAGACATTAGTCCATCAAGTCCAACCTATTAGGATCTCATTCTAGGAGTACCCGTACCCCTGTATATTACGGTCCCTTAAGAAATCGTCCAAAAGTTTCTTGAACAATTCCACATTATTTGCTGAAATCACCGCCTGTGGCAGTGAGTTCCAGACCCTAACTGATCTTACTGTGAAGAACCCCTTTCGCACCTTGTGCTGGAATTTTTTTTCCACCAATTTTAGGTGATGGCCTCTAGTTTTTGTAACGGAGTTAATTTTAAACAGTTTATCGCTAATGTTGCTACCACCATTAAACATTTTGTACATGGAAATCATATCCCCCCTTAATCTCCTCACCTCTAATGTGAACATGTTTAAATTTAGTAGCCTTGTCTCGTAGCTCTGGTCCTCCATACCCCTAATTAGTTTGGTTGCCCTTCGCTGGACTTTTTCCAACTCAAGGACATCTTTTCTTAGTACTGGTGACCAGAACTGGACCGCGTACTCCAGATGAGGTCGAACCAATGATCTATAAAGTGGCAAAATTATAGACTTGTCCCTGCAATACATCCCCTTTTTAATACAGGACAAGACCCTGCTAGCTTTGTTTACAGCAGCCTGGCACTGCAAACTACCTTTCAGTTTGTGGTCTACAATGACCCCCAAATCCTTCTCCATTTCTGACTTCCCCAGCGGCATACCTAATCTAAGTGAAATATGTGGATGGCTGTTCCAGTTTGACATAGATGGCCTTTATCATGTCTTTTGCAAGCCAGTTCTAATCTCTGTCCATAATGTGATGGGGTATATTTCTGACACTCAGATTGAAGAAGCTGCTTAGCACCTTACAGGGCAAGTCCATGCAAAAGAGACTAACTACTACTAGTAGTATCATGACCCGGATAACGAAGAACCTTCACAGACATGATTGTGAAATCTACTGGTCAAGACCAATCCATTTGTACATATTTTAAGGACCTCACAACTATACACAGTGCAATGCAGACGCTTCTTTTGTACAGGTACTATTAGAAAAGATCTACCTGCTTCTGTTGGAGATCAATGGCAGCAAGTTTTTTCAGTACAGCTGGCAGAAGAGCCCCCCGAGTCAAAGGGACAGCTGTATTTCCTACTATTATTTTTGCTTCAGATTCTTTATGTTGGATATTATTCATTGAATGGTTCAGCCTAAATACAAATTCTTTGCTGGAGTCAGTACCATAAAATCAAAGTTTCATCTTTGGGATAGTGGAAAAAAAAACTGAGCACTTCATAACTGTGACAAGAACCGGGACAATTTACTCACCATTTAAATAGGTCCCTCAGTAGCTTTTCTGTTATCTGGTCTGTGATATTTCCTACCCACAAAGAACAGCTTTGAGGTCTGTGAAACAAAGAAATGACAAAAATGAATTATGTCAGTACAGCCCTGCATCCTTCTCGGTAATGACATAATAAGACTATGAAGACATAAACAAAGATTTAGGTGACTGGTGAAATAAGGAAATATGATACAGTAGAGTGCTAACAAGACACACAGAGTCTATATATAGCAATATATTTATCAGAAGTGGCTGTAATAACCAAAATTATGAATAATGTTTTGCAGTCTGTTCAAATTATCAGTGCAAAAGGCTACAATACTACCCACCACACCACCTAAAATAGAGATAAATACTGGGGCTGCCATTGCTAATCTCCTTGTAAGGCTTCATTCACATGAGAAAAGGCCGGCACGTACAGCTCCATGCACGGCCCTATTGGGCAGCTCCCGGGAAGGACAGGTGTTGCATGTGATTAGTACGCAGCCCCTGTCCTCCTCTATGGGAATACATAACCATACGCCGCCCTACGCTCACCCGCCCGTGCGGGTGTCCGTACTCGTACGCTGGCAGGATGGATCCTGTCTGCATCCGAGCCTGGACACCTGCACGAACCTGAACTTGAGGTGAGTGTAGGGCGGCGTACGGCCGCGTATTCCCATAGAGAAGGACAGGGGCTGCGTACTAATCAGCCTGAGCACCTGTCCTTCCCGGGAGCTGCCCGATACGGCCGTGCACACAGCATGGAGCTGTACGTGTCGGCCGTTTCTTGTGTGAACGATCGTTGCCTGGGTTTAATATTTTTGACAGACCTAAGACAAGCATGCAGCAAGGGCTCAGAGTCTCTTCTTTTTTTGTAAATTGAAAAACCTGTTCCAGCCAGCGTAATGCATGTATGTGGCAACGGGGCAAGTGGGTCTTAATTCCAAGCCACTGCACATATTTGCCAGCCAGCTCCACTGTTCTGTGCTGATAGCACCTGGTCACCACTTACAATGGAAAGCCAGTGGATTGGGCTCCCAATCATGTAGCCACCGGTATAGCCAATCATAGTGATTTTTGACCAAAGAGAAAATGTTTAACTTTAATGGAGTTGTAAAGTCCCAGCATATCCTCTCCTGTTATATCATCAGCGTTGTAATAAGAATACATACTAGAGATGTTTTTGATAATACAATCAAAGCTTACTTGAAAAAATCCCTTTTATGTAGTGATTGCTGCCTTCTGCCTTCCCATCACTACTAATATCAATATGATATTTTAATACTATCATAGTTGTTTTAGTTCCATTAAAGTGGCATTAAATGCTCAACCTTTTTTTTTTATATAATTTATTATAGGTATTTATATAGCACAACAATTTATGCAGTGCTTTTACACAGTGTACATTCACATCAGCCCCTGCCCTTATGGAGCTTACAATCTCTAAGGTCCCTATATCCCATGCATACATACAGGACCGATTTAGACAGGAGCCAATTAACCTTCCAGCATGTCTTTGGAGTGTGGGAGGAAACCGGAGTACCCGGAGGAAACCCACGCAAGCACAGGGAGAACATGCAAACTCCTTGCAGATAGTGACCTGGCCGGGATTCGAACCAGGGACCCCCAGTGCTGCAGAAGCGCTAACCACTACACCACTGTGCTGCCCACATATAATATAATGAATCCAGATCAAACAAATATGCATGGCCCAGCAAAGTATTTCTTTGCGTTTTTTGCCCATACATTTACAGCCATGTTTCTGAACAGCTGCAACTCTCTCTGCTCAGCTTCCCTGAACTTCCAGTCCCTGGGACAGAGCATTCTACAGCAGCTGTCCGACTACTAGCTGGGAGAAGGGAGGAAGAGGAAAGCAGAGGAATGGCTTGCCACCCTAAAACAAGATATGAGGGCCAGTGCTCAGGGGACCAGCTTATACTGCAGGAAACTAACACTTTTAAACACCAAGAAGAAGCATTCATTGTCATTAATGTAATCAGCGTTTGAAATAGCTTAAAACCCTTTTGACCTAATTATCACTTTAAAGTCCAGCATTTTCTCTTTGGTAAAAAATTGGCTCATCCTTGAAGGATGTGGTATCTTGACCCACCCCTTACTTCTATGTTTGAGTAACCTAAAAGTGATCACATGACTGGGAAGCCCATCTCTGACTGCCAGAGTTAAGATCACCACCACCAGGAGTCCGCAGGAAGGGCTTAAACTTCACAATCCATTTAACTCTATGCACGGGGGCCACCCCGCGATGCATTATAGCGAGCTGCGACATGCTACACATGCCCTCCTTTCTTTTCAGCTAATTTTCAACTGCCTTGTCTATGCCTTAGGAGTGCATTGGGCAACGCTGCCCAACACAGCCCCACCGGACTGGTGTGAACAAGCCCTAAGAGTCCACTCACCCTCTTTTGTAGTTTTGCTGCCTCGCTGGCCAAAACGGCTAGATGACGCTAGCAATCAAGATTCTGCAGTGTTTCGACCAGCGAGGGGACCATTTCTATTGGGTAACGTGGCGGCTCCACCTTGGTTGTTCTGCCGCGGGTTTCGTGCTACCAATAATTAATAGTTATGACAACAAAAAAAAAGATACAACCTATAGAGATGGATCACCATTCCTTCATAGCCGGCTGTAAATACAGAATAGAATTCATCTTGTTTCATTGTAACAGGTGGCATGCAACATTCCAATAACCAACTACACAGGGGGAAAAAAAGGGTTTTGCCAAGAAAACCTTTTGCAATAATATTCCTCTAAAGGCAACAGCGATGAGCCGAACCATGAAATGCACGCTTGAGTTTAAGATTAAAAAGGAAAGCCAATTTGCATAAGTGAAGTAGTTTTGGGAGAGCATTTATGAACTCCTGTCAGCTAAAACAGATTTATACTATTCCCCCGGCAGCAGATGTGTGGTCATACTAACTCACAATTCATTTAAGAATAGCAGCTCCTCTTCTGTCGTCTCCTCCAGGTTCACATTTTCTTGCAACACTGCACCACCAGTCACAGGAAAGAGGAAAGTGTTACTCAGAGCTCAGTCAAAAAAACCGCACCCCACTGTATCTGCTGTTAAGGTTTAGAAAAATCACCTTTAGCAGAAATTGGAGCTTCCATGACAGCAGTAACAGATTCGTATTGCTCCAGCAAACTGATACTCTGCTCCTGGGTAAAACCATGAACCTTGAAAGAGATTTAAATAATCATTACAGAACCACCAAGGGGTACATCTTAATGCGAAGTACAATGCAATACTGCTTACTGCTATTAGAAGAGATGCGCTAAATATATTTCTCATTTAGTTTGGTAAATCAGTGTGTTTAATTATTTAAATGAGTGTCTCTGGTAACAGGAATGTTGGCATTAAAGGAAAGGTGTTGGGTGTAGTAAAAAAGAACTAGCAAACTATATATTGACTTTTGGGTGACAGGAGTATATTCACTAATGTACTCCTGTGACCCAAAGAGAAGTATAGCCAAAGAGAAGTATAGCCAAAAAAAGTTTGGCTTTATTATTAAAGTGACATTAAAGGCAAAACATTTTTTTTCCTCCCCCCAATGTAAATGTTAGCACTTACCTTAAATGATGTCTCTTTTTCCGATCTTCCTCTTCTTTCCCCATGTTTTCATCTGTCCCTCCAGCGGTGTGACGTCACTCCGATCCAGCGCTGACTGCTCTGTCTCTCCGATCTAGCGGTGTCTGCAGGCGGGTGCACGCGTCCATAGACTTACCTTGCGTCTCTGCTCGTCTCCCGGCCGAGAATCCGAACTGCGAATAGGGTTTAGAACCCCTTTAATATTTTGCCTTCCCTGGTTCCTCCTTTCCTACCACTCATTAACATGATAAGATACCTTATTTTAGACCCAGTGAGGGCATGACTTGGGCCGTCACAACAGGAACCCAGTCATGACCTCGCTGGGTACTGCTTCAGTACACCTCTCAAGAGCCATCAACACAGATGTAAGCAGTAGGCTGGCTCTTTGGAAGAGTTATGCAAATATCCTTATGCCTTGATAGGTGGAAGTCAGTCTCAGGACTCCACAAAGTGAGGACCTATTATGACCCTTATGACATTAAAACATACACAAACACCTACTGCAATGAGTGGGTTATCTCTTGAGAAGAGTTATGCAAATATCAAAATGCCTTCATGGGTGTGGAGGTCAGTCTGGTGGAGTGCGTGATTCCACACAGACTTAATTTGCACACAGACAATGAGGCTAAAACACTGACACATGAACAAGGATTTTCTCCAAATATCATATTATTTTAATTTGGCATAAATAACTTACGCGTTTCAGCCCAAACACTAGTCATAGCATGCATACCACCCTAGGTAACGCCCACATGTTATGCTGAGCTTCTACAACTAAGAAGCTCTCAGTGTGCAGTGAAATCAGACTAAGTAATTTCAGTCCAGGAGAGCAACTGTGCAAAACTGAAGAGAAGGCCGGAGTTCAGCCTACTGTATATATGAAAGTGTAATGGTCTTCTGAGTTGGATTTCATCCAATTGAAAGGCTGGACAAGATTTTATAACCATATGCCAAGTTGGTGTGAACATATCCCCCTTTTTACTAAGCCTCATGTCATGGCTACTGCGAAAAATATGATGCTTTTGTAGGAAATGTCTGTCCAAACTACTGCTGGTTGTAAAGACGGTTCATCTGTTCTGCTGTCGCCACCAAAAATGTGTCAATCACCCAGTGGTGAGATCTTTGCTCCAAGAACCCCAGCGCCGCCCATTTTTGATTTATTATAAATGATAAAGAATGTATTGATGAGACTTGTTCTGCTTTTTCTCACATTACCATGAGTTGTAGAACTTGACACGCATGAATCTCCTTCAGAGCCTCCTTGCACCCTTTGTCCAGACGTAAGACCATCTTGAAAGCTTCTTCTGCCTCCATATACCTCTGTACAGATGAAATGTGTGCATTTTATTAGCTGTACATAACTGACATATAAAAGACTACGGTAAAATCTAGCCATTTATAAGGAAAGTCCATTTATAGTGAAAAGCCTTGGTGTATTATATTTGCAGTCAGGATAAAGGAGTTCCTTTCCCCCTCTCATCAACATGCTAATGACATTTTTTAAATAAAACATGTTTATGTTACACACTTTATTTTAGACCTAATGAGATATAGTCACTGGGTCTCTGTGCTTCTCTGGGTCTCTGTGGTTTTCTATGCAATGAAGCAGATCATGGCTGGTGGGAGGGTGCTGTACATAGCTTCCTGAAAGGATTCCATTGAGTGGAATACCACTTTAAAAACCTACTCCAGGGGCAAAGCTTAACTACTGAATGGCTCTACTTCCCCCCCCCAGCACTCATCCCATTCACCAGGCTGTCCTATTTAACTGCATTACTTTATTTAACAAAATCTGCTGAAATGCAGGTCGGCAAGCTAACCGATCCAAGAACCATCCATTCTATATGAACCCAAGGCAGTCTCATCCGCACTTAAACATGGTTATTTGGGGCAGAATCAAATGAGAGGTTGAAGTCCTACTCAAAAGCATGAAAAATATGGATGCAGTTGCAGGATGGATAATTTATATTTAAGGCAAGTATAGTGCTATTACTTCTAAGGACTTTACTTCTCTAAATTCTGGATTAAGTCCTGCCCGACTTCCTTTGGGAATATGAGAGAGGCCTTTAAGGGCATGCTTACTGGACAGGTTGCAGTCAGGTGGGGCAGGCTTAGCCCAAAAAGGATGTGAAAATGAAGCAGAGGTTCACAATGTAGAGGCTTCTAGCTATTAATGCTAAGAAACTTTTTTGATTCTGTGGTCTGCTCTTAGCAGGCTTCCCTTTTCCAATCAGAAAACACCTTGTAGTCATTGATAAAAATACTAGGCTTTCTCTGAATGGCCAATGTGCCGAGGGAGCGGCCCCTAGTGTTTTCTTAGCAGAGGTGAAGCCAGTGAGCACAGTACAGTACTGGCAGCTGGAAGATCACAGCCAGAGTGCTTTACAGGACCCCCCTCTCATCAGGTTTATCATATGCATACTTGCATTGGGCCAAGCTGGACCAGTATAAGCCATCATAATAATTCATACCTGGAGTTCAGCTTTAATAAATGGGTTGCATTAAGCCAATCTCTTCTACATGTATAGCGAAGACCTAAAAACAAGTTCCCATTTAAATACTTTTCCCGAAGAAACTACTGATTGAGGCTACCCATAGTACTGATCATGTGAGCAAATGCCTAGGCAACAGTCACATTATCTCAACTGAAGGGGATTAGGAAAAGGAAATGCAGGCAGGACCCCTTAGGAATAGGTCATGAAAGCGGAAGACCTTCAATGACAATGGATACCCAAGGAAAGAAGGATTGTGAGGAATTCTACAAAGTAAAACAATACAAACTCTTACAATGCAGCCTTTCAGTGCTCTGCCCTTCCTGAAATATCCTTTGGGACAGACAGCAGATAACTCTATGGACGTTTCTGCATCCATCAGTGCCTTAGAGTAGAGCTTCAGTTGTTCATAGCAGTATGAACGATTGCCAAAATACCTGTAGATAAAGAAAGAGCAACTTTATTCGCATTCCTGCTAATCATTGTGTCCGAAATTCAGCAGCGTTTCAGTACAACTTGTACGATTTTTCACACCAACAACTTCACTGCTGATAAAAATAAAAATCAGATTTTAAATGATTTGCTATTTTGTGTGTATTTTTTGCCAAAGCTGTGTGCGTTTATGTGAGAAAATAGATATACAGTATGTATGGGTGTATGTTTTTTTGTTGTTTTGTTCTGCATCTATGCTATTGCAAGCATCTTTCTACTTTTTATGCTTGCCTATGAGGCGTACAACAGGGGTAATCAGGATGACGTCACCAGAGTATTAGTCAAGGTTGTATCTTCCAGTAAGGAGAAGAAAGCCTTCTTGCAGCTGCATTTGAGCCCAATGCCAGTCTACTCTTTACCTAAATGTACAGTTAATTTCTGTACCCAGCAGTATTACGTAGGACACTCCGTAGAAGTGGGTAACAGTAGAAGATGTGGGGTACGCTGCAGAAGACAAATTGGAGCAATCAGTGGAAGATGACGCAGGGCACTCTGGAAGACGTGCCAAGGTCTAGCAACCTCTCTGATAGTAAACACAGAAAAGTCTTGACGAGGCAGTGTGGCTTTCACTTATTTTGTAAAAGTTGTGCAACTAAAAGTTCTGTTTTAACGCAAGTTGTGAGACAGTGTAAGCTGCTTTTTTTTAAATGCAGGCTTGCTGGTGAGTGTGCTGGGAAATATTTTTGTATATATTTGTAAAGCCCTTCCATGTACACCATACTTTAAAAGCTAGTTATAAATTGATGAGTATGGTTGCTTCATTTGTTGGATTTGGTGTGGGGGACACACTGGGGGCTTCAGCTGACATTGTGATGAGTTGAACTTCTGGTGTGTTCCTGTGCCTTTTGAGGGATGGGCATACCTGCACCCAATTTGTCCTTTGCTATATATGCTCCTAGATGGGGGCTCTCAAAGCTTAGAGGTAGGGCAACACTACACAGAAGACTTGACGAGGCGGTGTAGCTTCCACATATTTTGCTAAAGTTGTGCAACTAAAACCTCTGTTTTTATTTTTTATTGCAAGTTGTGAAACAGTGTACGTTTACCACTGGTGGTAAGCGTGCTGGGAGTTTTTTGTGTTTGTAGATGAGGCAAGATGTCACCAGCACACCAGGATAGGACAAACGAGAGTCTTCTATTGATACATATTGTCAGGCTTACAACTTTGGACAGTAATCAGTAGAAGATGCAGGAGACTCAGTGGAAAGCGTGGAACATGTGCCCTGTATGCCAAGGTCTAGCAACACTCCTGATCTTAAATGCATTTATGAAGGCATGAACTAGTGAACCACTAAATTGTGCATTTCTAATACCACAAGTTCTACATAATGTCACCTAATTTAGACTTTTAGACTGTAAGCCCTCAGGGGCAGGGCCCTCCTTACCTTCTGGTCTTGAATTGTATTATGATTTGTAATGTCTTCCTTATATTGTAAAGCCCTGCGCAAACTCTTGGCGCTCTATAAATCCTGTATTATAATAATAATAATAATTCCCCCCCGCACTTGAAACCTAAAACTGATTTCCTGGCAAGCTAATACACAGTTTAAACAGATATATGGGAGTCCTTACTGGCCAAAGGATTTGAATTTGGAGATAAATGAAGACAGCCATGCCTGACTGAACCACCAGGTTGGTGAACTCCCTTTTCTGTACTTTAGTTAAGTGACTGGACATTAAAGAGCAACAGCAGAATGGTGGGGTCATCTCTCCCTCAGCATGTTCCATGCACATGCAGCAGAGTCATGACTGGCTCAAGGCACGGACCTTCCCTCTACAGCAGAGGTAGGCAACTCCGGCCCTCCATCTGTGGTGAAACTACAAATTCCATCATGCCTGTAAGCAGTCATGCCTCTGACTGTCAGTCTTGCACTGCCTAAAGGGATTTGCAGTTGCACCACAGATGGAGTTTGCCTATTCCTGCTCCACAGTCTATTGTATTGTTCTCTCCATGCTGAGATAAGCGAGCAGAGTGATGACCTCACCAGTGTGCTTGACTCTGTCTCTGTTCTCCACCACTGCCTGTTAGCAGGCTGGGGGCAGCATTGTATTCTTAAACAGTAACAGGATGCATTGTGATAGCACAGGCAGTGCTTTGTGATGGAGCTGTGTAAATCTCAGGCCTGCATGGTCAGGCTTGTCTGGAATTCAGCTTTATTTATTAATACTTATTAACACCAGAGTGTACCTTTTAAATAAAAAAAAAAGTAACTGAATTGCGCTACAATGAACAAGACTTCAAATCTATTTTTACCCATAATCTACTCAAAACACATTCTTCCTCCAAATCTCTCCCAGCTACAACAATTTCACAGAGCTCCAGTACTTCCACTGAGCAGACATCTGCAGAACGCTTACCTGTAATCTTTTGGATCTAATCTGATAGCTTCACTAAACAGTTCAATAGCTCTGGTGTAGTTCCCATCTTTCACCAATTGAATGCCTTGTTCTGAAATAACAGAAAATATTAGGAAAGAAAGTCAGGAATCCATCTGTACATAAATTGTATAAAACATCCTTTCCGGATGTGTATAAAAAGGCTGCAAGAAAGGAAATGAAAATGCATATGGAAAATCCAAACACATGTCAGATATATAGAGAGGCGCTGTCACTGCTCCAAACTGTGCAGACACATTGGGGGGAATTTATCAAAACTGAAGCAGACTAAATCTGGAGCAGTTGCCCAGGGCAACCAATCAGCTTCTTCTAAGTTAGGATTTGAAAATGAAAGGTGGATGCTGATTGGTTGCCATGCACAGCTGCTCCAGTTTTGATAAATTCCCCCCATTTTATACTGATGTTTGACACTCAGGGGTCTATTCACTAAGCTGCCGAGGGCAGCCGAGTGAACAACTGACCCCAAGTGAAGTGAGCCAAACACTGTTCGGCTATTCACTTCAGGCTTGTACGGCTGGTTTCTGCCGTAAATCGGCTGAAATCAGCCGTACATCAGCTTGCTTCGCATTGGTTCGGGTCGGCCGAACATGCTAAGCATGTTTGGCCAACCCGAAGTTCAGAAGGAGTTCGACTCAGCCGATCCAACATCTGGATCGGCTGAGCCGAACCTCCGGCAAGCTGCTCGTTGCTGTTCGGCCTATTCTTATAGATGCCGAACAGCAGTGAGTGAATAGCCGAATACCGCTGAGCGGCATTCGGCTCGGCTGTTCTGCTCGGTCCCTCAGAGGGACCGAGCAGAACAGAAAAATAGTTAAAGAAGTACAAAAAAATAAGTAGAAAACGATTGTGCGGAGCTAGCAATGACAGCTAGTTCCGCCCAACAGTTTTCTATTGTCCGGTGGTTCTACTCTGGGAGTCTCCAGCTCCCGGCCGCCCAGGAGAGAAACACTGCTTTTTGCTTTTTTTATTCTGACACGGAGCAGTGTCAAAATAGAAAAAAAAAATTATATTTTTGCCCATAGGGGATGCATTGCTAGATTCCTATTGGCTATTTCAATTTTCAATAGCCAATAGTAAACTAGCATTGTACCCGCCCTCTGCTGATAGCTGAATTATACATTTTCCATCCAGTGTATAGCCACACAGCACTGTGGCCACTAGATGGAGCCAAGGAGCCTAGGAAATTCCTATGCTCATCAGCGCCATCTAGTGGTGGTAGTGATGTCCGAACGGCATTCACCCAGCTATACACTGGATGGAAGATTTATAACTCAGCCCCTAAGTGTGTCAAGTGTTATTGTATATGGCAGCTGTGCATAAACTTCAAAATATTGTCATGCCTCTGCCAGTCATGCATGTCAGAGTCTTGCAGTGCCTCATGGGAATTTTATTTTTACAACCGCTACACTGCCGAGGTTGCCCACCCCTGGTAGAAACTGCACTGATCAGCGCGGCAAAAATAGTGCAGGGAGCAGTTCGGGTGGGGGAGCGCTTTGGATCACGCGGTCGCATGAACGGTCCCTATAACAATGTATGGGATTGTTCATGACAGCAGTTCCATGCGGCCAAACCGCTCCGGTGTGCACAGGGTCTTACTTACCTGATCCCGGCCTCCTCCAGCTGATAGACTGGTCCGACAGCCTCTCCATCCCTGGGTTCCAAAGAACAAACGTGGTGTCACCATTCCGATCGAGCTTGACAAAGAGGTAACATCCTCGAAACGCGTTGCTCCCGAGCATCCACCCACGACCTTACAAACCCGATCCCTCCTCACCTTACTACTATCCCGGCCGTTTTGCCACCCCACAACACCACCACCACAGTACGGGCACTGGTCCAGTCACGTTCATTCACAGTTCGAGTTCTTCCACCCGCAGCTGCAGCCACAGCTGCCCAGCCAGACGTCAGTTCTCACATCGCTGGCACTTTACATTACATTAGCGGGGACACGGACACACTGTGTGTGTCATCACCCGCACCCCTGTCCACCCCTCTCCTCTTTGTTCCCTGAGATGAGCTACCCTAGGCTACATACCAGCCTTCATTGATTGTATACGTTGGACTTCACAATCTCCTCCACTGCTCTACATCCATCCAGTCCCGAGACCCACTCAAAGTAAGTGTTCCATCTCCTTTCGCTTTTCTCACTATGTTTGACTTAGTTTTAATAGCCCCTTTAGCCTTGCGCCCTCACGTTTGTTCTTTGGTTCCACTAGTGCAGGTACTCCTCCTGTCTTCCAGGGCTGCAGGCGAGGTAGAGCTACAGTATCCTATTCCCCTGGCCTAATCCGAGAGCGCTGTCCAGTCGGCTCTTAAGGACTTGCACAAGATTTTCCTCTTCAGTAGAATCTCTTTCCCTTAGAATCTACAGATAGTGCTGTAATACCTTCTTCCTTCCTCGACTTCATCTAGATCACGCTTACTCAGGATGGACAGTAACGTGTAAAATGGTTCCCTTCGGAAGTCTCCTCAGTGAGTGTGTTGGATAGTCAAGATTAGCCATCAAACCACCTTGTTGCTTCCATTTCACAGACAAGTTTTTTGAACCGATAGGTAAGTATACAATTTTCCGTTATATATATATATTTTTTTTTTTATATTTCTCAACTGACTTGTTTTTTTGGAGAATGATTATACATAGGACTGTGAGTGATGTCAGAGGGACAGACCAAGTTTCCTCTTATTAACATTCAATAAAGATCCAACTCTTCAGGTCTTTAACACTTTATTAACGCAGTGTTGAAACACTAGTTTATAACTGATAGAGATTTTCCAGCACAGTACAGCCAGGGTATGGTAAGCAAAACTCTCCAGGCCGCTCCACAAAGAAGAACTCTAAGATTTTATAAAACTTACCCTTACAGTTGGGCTACCCCCACATTGCAAGGGTTAAGTGCTCATTTTGTCTAGGGGGTGCAAACAAAGATATACTCACCTGATCAACGGTCCCCCAGCAATCGGCACTCTCCACCCTCTGCTCAATGCTTTGGTATGGTAGTATGTCCCTCCCTCACATCTAATGCAAGTCAATAAACCTGCATTAGACACAATGACATCAGTGGTCCTTAGAGCCAAGGGAAGAAGATGCTGCTGAGACCAGTCCAGAAGATGATGCTGCTGAGACCAGGGATTGAGGATCAGGTGATTATATATTCTTTATTTGAGCCCCCTAGACAAAATAAGCACTTAACCCTTAGGCTGAGTTCACACCTAGGCGTATCGAATATGCGCGATTCACGGTAAAAAAACACGCGACAAACGCGCGTTTCCGAGGGCTACTTGGCTGTATCCCAATGGAAACGTGCAACAAGAATGCCCCAAAAGAAGCTCCTGTACTTCTTTTGGCGTAGGGCATTTTGTAGCGCGTTCATACGGCCTGTAATACGCCCAGGTGTGAACCATACCCATAGGAAATAATGGGATTTCGGCGTTTGAGCGTTTTGCAGCGCGTAGGGATGCGCTACAAAACGCCCAGGTGTTAACCGGGCCTTAGGCTGCATTCAAACCTAGGCGACTGTGTTTTTGCTCGTTTCTATGTGCATTTTAGCCTGTATGCCATGCATTTTTGTGAGCAGATTGTGACACATTGATGTAAAGGGGCAACCATGCGTAAAACACGTGCAAAAATGCAGCAAACACGTGTTTTTGAGCATTTCCATTGAAGTCTATGTGGGGCCAAGAAGCGCCTAATCTGCCAAAAAAAAAGAAGCTCATGTACTTTTTTCCAGTGACGACAATTCGCTACAAGCGACAAAACTCAGATGTGAACATAGCCATAGAAAAGAATGGGAATTTGTTTTGGACGGGTTTTTTTAGGGCAGAAAATGTGCTACAAAACGCTAGGTGTGGTTAAAGGGTAGCCCCACTAGTTTTGTATTTACTGAAGTTCCTCTTTAACATAGAGGGGAGTTAGGCAGGATTTTTAAGCAAATAAAATGTAAGTTCTGCTATGTGAAAGGGAACATGTAACAAATATAAAACTGAGCATTATCCCAATTTGGCTACCAAAGTGAAAATACACTTTAAGCTGGCCATACATGCCTCGAATTTCAGCCGATTCCTGCTGAAGCGGCCCAAACGCGAGTTATGATTGGTCCTGCTACTCCACACAGCTTTACAAAAATAAATTGAAAAGAATGATAGGTTGTCAGATGCTGATGCAAAGCTGTCAGATTGCACCTCCCCACTAATAACCCTGAAGGACCTGTACACATACTTGTACCTGTGACAGCTAAATATATTCAATTGTTCTACACATTCAAGAACAGAGCCAAGTAATAGCTCAGCAATACCTGCAGAAAGTAGTTTACAATAGGATGCTAGGGCCCAATGTATCAATGGAAACAATTAATAAACAGTCAACGTCAGGTTGTAGGCAGATTATAGCAGCAGCATTGGTTTTCTTTCCTCCACCCCTCACCCTCTGACATAATGCAAGTCAGATAAATGTAATAATCAGCTCACCACATTTGCCAGAGAAGAATGTGAACATTGCAACACGGCTAACAAACTGAAAAAGTACAGACTGACCCAGACAAAGAATGACACAGTGCGTCAGACGTTATCAGACGAAGAGGGGTACAAACTGAGAAAGCTGATAACAGGCTAAAGTTCCCCACGTACTGTACAAGTAGACTTTTGCTTTCAAGCCAAATGACTTAAAAATTTACAAATCTCTGGCCAAATGTGCAAAGAAATTGGAAAACATATATTACCATATTAAACTGACACTAAACTCAGGAGTTAAATCTTATCAAATACATTCAAGTATCTTAACTATTATCAAAAATGTAGTTTGTGTATCACTCGGCTGTAGGTCCTGAAATCATCTCTGAATTGGTGCTGACACTGTCCTTCCTTCTGGAGGGGGGCTACTTTTGTTCCCCATGGTCCCTGTGTGTGTTGTAAAGCTGGCTCCCAGGATGGACTACAATCTCAATACAAATGAGTAAACTAAATGTGACATTTTAGTCCATCACAGGAAGGAGCTTGGTGGGGTGACTACTTTACAACACACACACACACAGGGAACATGGGAAACAAAAGAAGCCCCCCTCCAGAAGGAAGGACAGTGTTAGCACCAAATTAGAGATGATTTGATGATCTACAGCCAAATGATACACAAATAAGATGCATTTTTGTTAATAGGGTACTTGAATGTATTTTTTGGATTTAACGCCTGAGTTTAGTGTCACCTTATCCTTGGAAGGTTATTTATCCATATCCAGCCAATTTCCATTCCATGAGCTAAGGGATTGAATGTTTGAACCTAACTAACATTTTATTATAAGTGTGAGATTGTAGTCCAGCACAGGAGTGAGCTTGCAGCGGTGGCTACTTTAATAGTAACGCTCGGTCAACCCCCGCCCCCCTTCATCCTCCCAATCTGCAGCTCCAATTTTTACTAGGGTGTAAATGGTCCACTGCAGGGAGCCCTTTGCCACAAAACTACCTGGAAGATGATGCAACTTTAAAGTGCATTTCCACTTTTGCAGTCAAATTTGAGAAAACCCCCCATTATAGGTTTGTTAGGTGTTCATATTCACACAACATTTTTATCTTTTTGGTGTGTTGATGCAGCAGGCAGATTCTGCAACATGGCTGATTTCAGGGTTTTCTTAGCACCTTCACAGTGATCTGATCTTACAGAAAGACTTCGGACTGAAATTTGAGGATTGTGTTTTATCTCATTAACATACCATGCAGCAGCCAGGGTTGTAATCCTTTAACCCCTCACAGCCCCTGCTAACATTACAAAGAAGGAGAAGCCAAGTATAAATTTGAACCCTTAGGAAGCCGAGAAACGCTAACCCAAGTCAAAGCAATTTAAACTGCAAGAAGAACTTTTTAAATATTTTTTAGCTCATGCTATGTGGAGGGGAACATGTAACAAATATATTATAGGTGTTATCCTAATTTGGCAGCACAAGTGGAGATACATTTTAAGCTTACAAGTAGTATTTATCTCACAATGCCTGACTAGTAAAATGCACGGTTACTCCATTAGCAATGTTCTCCAATTACATTTTTGCCTCTGACACCCCTATGCACAAACATATTTCCAGCACCCTAATCTCCTCTGATTTGGAATCCTCCACAAGCCTATAACAGGATCCTTTGCATCTGCAATCTACAGCATGTTGGATTAACTGACAAAAATGTCCAACAGGATATTGATGCTCATGTTAAATAAGTGTAATGTGTACTAACAGGTTTACTTATGAGTTGTGATCAATCTTATCAGTAATGACAGTACAAGATAAGCTGCATTTTCTGTGTCAACACCACGGAGAGGGGAAATACCATTAAAATTCCCCAGATAAAAAGATGTCTAACAGCCCATTATGAAAATAAACTTTCCATGATTAACGCCCCCAAAAAAGCTCTCTTTTAAATCAGCAGCACTTAGAAGTTTAGTTAACCTGGTGGCTGAAGGAAATATCTGTTTTCGCAGGTAAGATTTTTTTTATATATATTAATTATTAACCACAAAATTACTCAAGTATAGTTAGAGAGACTTAGTCATAGTTGGGTTTATACAACAAGGGGCCTATTTATAGCAGATATTGATATCCGCTGTCTGCAATACACACTGCAATGTGGGTCCACACCTCAGCCTGCATTAATTTTTTGTATTACAGGTATTTCTATAGCACCGCCAATTTATACAGTGCTTAACATACTATTCATTCACATCAGTCCCCGCCCCAAGGAGCTTTCAATCTAAGGTCCCTATCTCACAAATACACATACTAGGGCCAATTTAGGCAGGAGGCAAATACCCCACCAACATGTCTTTGGAGTGAAAGGGGGGGATGGAAGTACCTGGGGGAAACCCACACAAGAATAAGGAGAACGTGCAAACTTCACACAGGTAGGACAACTTCCATTATTTAATGTAAGCATATTTGCAAAGCAATTTGCTGTGCTCTACAGATGTGTTTTGGTATTTTAAATTTTGTGTGTGTGTATATCTAATATATATATATATATATATATATATATATATATATACATATATACATACATACATACATACATACATACATACATACATACATACACACACACACACACTGAGTGGCCAGATTATTATGACCACCTGACGTTTGTAGGCAAATTAGCTATAATTTCGCGCTGAAGTTGCTAGAGGGCCAGACCATTATAAATAGGGAAGCAGGTTGTTTACCACGACAGTAGAAGTGATTTTTTTTCAGTCATAATCTAACTTGTACAAATACATAAATAAAACGCTGACTGGGGGTTCTAGGGCGTCAACCAGTCTACTTTAAAAAAGCCTTCATCACCAGGACAGGAAGTGATGGGGAATCTCTTTGAGCCCTGGATAGCAATAAAAACCTAACCCTTCCCAATTTCATCAAAAAACTAAAATAAATTGATTGGACATACACTTGAAGATATAAATGAAATATACAGTAGGATGATGCACACCAAGAATTAGGTGATGAAAGTCTATGAGCACATTCTATGTCTGAATGGCTAAGGAGAGTTTATCCGGTCAACGATCTGGTGGAGAGATTCAAGAAAACCTGATCTGCCCATTTCACCCGCTACGTGGCCTTTAATATATTATTGTTGTGGATTAGAGTTATGCCAATAGCTGTTCTGTACTCATGGGTTTTCTACATAAAGACATTCCCCTGATGCCCTGTATGGGCAGCCAATAAGGGAAATAGGTAATTTCAAATTCATAGGGCATCAAATATCAATATATATCTTTACTGGCTACAGATCAGCTTCAGCAAATCTAACCAACGTCCTCCAACTGACCATTTCACCAAATTAACCCCACAGTCAGCCTTAGAGATAAAAATGAATTCCCGCTTTATTTTCGAAGAACACCACAAATCCAACCCAACTTCCTGCATTTTATAGAGCGCGCATTTTTGGCATTTTAAATAGAGAATATGAAATGGCAATTAGCATGAACAGCTAGTACTCGGGACATGCTATGCCTCTATTCTGTTAACTGGTTTGGCATAGTAACAAGTGCTGGAATGAAATGCATACAGTTGGGATTTAAAAGGAACAGATGTTTGATGTACAAGTTGAAAGGAACACAGCTCTAAATTAATTTACTGTAAAGGAGCTCCTCGCTCTGCAAACATCTATAATGTAGCTTGGTTGGGAAGAACGTTAACAGTATTTAGAGAGGGATCTCATATCTGCAATTAAAACACATTGTGTGGAAATTTGTGAGGCACAAGAAATGTCAGGATATAAAAAGAAAAGCCAATTAGGGGTATAATGTATGGCTTCTGGAGTGCCACTTACTGAATCCAAAACCCAAATAATAACTAATGGGAAACCAAGCTTCTCTGAAAAGAACACACGGCTATTACTGCTGACAGCCGGTGAGTTGAAAGTCAACATTAAAGGGTCAAACCACCAAAAATTGATCTTTTAGTTTTTGACAAGTGTCAACAAGATGGATCACCCACTCACTTTTCATTTCTTAGTTATGCCAGAGGCAAGATGTCTGAGATTACAGCACTGCCCCTGGTACTGCAGCCATTGCAAGCAGGTCTCACTTTTCCTGTTGGATTTTCCGGTTTGGTTATATTATCCGCGTGATGACCGGAGGGCAATGATGCCTAGATGACCATGCCAAACGTTGCATTATCAGCATGCTGCTAGCAATACATCTAACATACATACACCAGCTGGACTGTTTGAAAGTTATGGGCAAAATGTATAAAGATTTGGGTTCCTTGGATAACCTATGCTCACCCAGACATCCATCCCCCTCATCATTTTACTTTTCTACCCTCTCCAACCCATGTTGCGCTGAGTTAGTGGAAATTGTCCAGTAACTAACATAATAAATGTATCTTTCTGTACACTGTATGTTCTTAATTACGCAATTCCTTTGTAATTCACACATTTTATTGTATAAACTTAATAAAAAAACTTTGCAAGGAAAGTTATGGGCAAAAAAAATATGCTGCAAATTGTGCTGACACATAATTTTCTAGTTCAACATATTCTGACTGTTACACTGAATAGATGGCACTGCAGATGAACACGGCAGCCTGAAGGTGGCAGCATTCATTTTTGTCAATGAAGACTCCAGCCTGTATGTGATCACCAGGAGCACTTCTGTCTTGGGGGTCCCCAGTTCGAATCCTGATCAGGACACTTCAAGGAATTTGAATGTTCTCCCTGTGCTTATGAGGGTTTCCTCCGGGTACTCCAGTTTCTTCCCACACTCCAAAGACATGCTGGAAGGTCAATTGGCTTCTGCCTAAATTGACCCTCATATGTGTGCAATAGGGACGTTAGATTGTGAGCTCCTTAAGGGCAGGGACCGATGTGAAAGTGCAGTATGTAAAGCGCTGCTTAAAATAGAACTATGGGGAGAGTGAAATCCACTCATCCCCATAATTAGAGCCCATGTAGGACACTGAAGCTGTCACACATCGGCTCTATTTGTCGAAAACTGAGCGATCACACACCACTGATTGCTCAGTTCCTTATCATCTCCCCGCAGAGAGCGGTGACTGTCAGTCATTAGTCCCCACAGGGATTCCACCCTCCCCTCTCCATTCCTCCAGCGCTGACTGAAGGGTCGGCAGGTGACGGGCACAACCAGCTGTTAACCAGGTAGCAGAAGATACAATAGAAGATATAATAATGCACAAGTACTCTGAAATGGGGAGATCCTAAGGCTACAAATAGCCTACCCGATCACCCGCAATCTCTCCTACCATCTCTATCTAAAGCTTTGTGCACACAATGAATAAAGTCAGCGTTAACACCCCGGGCTTCAAGTGGCTAATGTTCTACATGGGAATGGATGCAAGATTTTCTACTAATAAAACGTCTCCTAAGCTAAAGGATGAACATTTACTTTACTGTGCTGTACTTTACTATAAGAAAGAAAGAAAAGATATATCTATCTATTATTTTTTTTTACAACTATAAAATAAAAAAAATAAAAAATGATCAATTATCAAAAAAAATTTTAAATGATCATTTGTAAAGAAAATGTTGTTTTTTTTTCTTTTCTTACCAGCAAGGTTTTGGCTTCTTTGGATTGAAGAATCTGTGCAGTCACCCTTAAAAGGAAACAGAATGTGATGACAGAGAGTTTTCAGGACAATATTACTGAGAAATATATCATACGCGTCATATTGCCATCACATTGCCTTTTTAAGCATTTCAAAACAAGATCCAAAACATACATCAATAACATTCTATACATAAAATATTTTGCCACTGGCTGCTTTACTTTGCTGCCCTGGCGGCGAAGCAAGAGGAGTCAGTGTGGTTATATAGAAGTCCATTGATAGGTTAGGATTTATTAAAGTGGACTTTGTAGTATGAGCAAGGCCTGATTGTTAATGCAGCAACAATTTTAAAAAGTATAATAAGTAATAACAATAAATATTCATACCTTTCACTGAGACCATAGACTTACCTTGTGTCTCTCCTCGTCTACCGGGCGAACATCTGAACTGAGCATGCGCCCACCCCAAGATCCTTTGCGGCCGCCCGAGAAATTTTCAGATGGTCAGACGGGAGACACGGGTAAGTATTAACCCCTTTTGAAAAGTTTTTTTTTTTCTTAGTGTTTTTGCATATATCTACTGCTTGCTAGCATGTCTCTTAATCCGAGACATATATTGCTAGCAGTAGATATATGGAAAAAAACATGAGGGTTTAATAACCCTTTAAACGTTAATAATCGGCTCCTTCAAATTTGATTTGGGAGAATTCAGAGTAACCCATATCTCACCATATGAGAACTGAGTTACTCGGCATTCCCCAGGATCTTGCCAGGAGCATGACATCACCCACACCTAGGCACCACGGGTAAAGGGGGGAACGGTAAGTATATTTAACACATTTTTTTCCCTAAAGTTTTTTTAGTTTTTTTTTAATTATTATTTTTGCAGCATTTGGCAAAGGGGAGGGGAGAACAGTAAATAAGATTTTTCGCTAATGGAGCTAGTTCTGCTTTAAGCGTGGGCAGCTAGTTGTGCCGCCAATACAAAAACAGGATACATTTTAAAATCATTTGTTTGGCATTTTCATGTTGGGTATTTGTATATAAAAAAAAACACAAGGGACTACCACTTTGCCAGCTGTACTTCTAACAATGTCATATTAACAGATGGCTGATAACAACTCATGCCGTTTCGTGAATTGGCGCTGTTGGAAAAAAAAAGCATCAGCTTTGCTGTACAGCCGGGTAATCGAAAACAAGAGCAGTTCTAACCTTCTACCGAACAGATTTTTCTCATAATATTGCAGAGTGATTAATACATTTATTCTTTAGTTATGTCTTAGATCTGCGCAGGCTTGAGGTGGAAAATTGCTGTAAATACAATTAGAAAGCATCGCAGATCCCCACAAAGTTGTCACAAGTACACTAAAAATCAAATGCAAATCTGTTCACCTTTATTTGTGATAGATGAAAACTCAATATTTTTCTTCTTTTTTTTTTTTTTTACAGCATCCAAAATAAAAGCTTAAAGTGGATTTCCACGTTTGCAGCCAAGTTGGAATAACATCTTTTTTATATTTGTTACATGTTCCCATTCACATAGCAGAACTTAAAAAGAAATAATAAAAAATTGCCGCTTACATCCTCACATGCTCTTTTTAGAAAACTCCAAAACTGCTATGTAATGTTAACAAGGGGGCTGTGGAGTTAATGTTTACCCTAATTACACCTGTCCTGTCTGTACTGTGCTGGCAGATCTCATCAGTTGTAAACTAGTACTGAACATTATCCTAACAAAGGGTTAAATAAATCAGAGCTTGTGTTTTGCATTATATGTTAGGGCCCATTCACACCAGCAGCTACGCAAAAACACACAACAGCTGGTATGCAACACAGTGCCATTGCGATGATCCCGGCCACAGCGAGGTGCTTGTTCCACGTCGCATCCCGCTGCTCTGAAAAAAGGAAGACATGCCTTACTTTCTTTGACACACACCACCACATTCCCACTGCAACGTGATGGTGTGAACAGTGCCCATCCCTGACGAGGCAAATTGCCTTTCCCCAACATACCTCAAATTTCCCCAACACATGTGGTGTGAATTGATATATATATATATATATATATATGTATATACACATACACACACATAGATAGATAGATAGATAGATAGATAGATAGATAGATAGATAGATAGATTTTCGAATGTTTTCAAATGTAATATCAAGTTATGGCCACTGGATGGAGCTAAAGGAACATGGTAAGTATTTTCTATGCTCCTCCGCACTGTCTAGTGGCCGTAGTGCGATATTACATTTGATAACCTTCCAAAATTCATCTAAGCACAAACAAAGAACGTTTGTGCTTGGATGAGAAAAAAAAAACCCAAACATTTGAAAATACATCCCTTGTAAAGAAACAATTAAAGAATGTTCATTTTGGTATATATCTGCAGAAATCAAACATCCACAGGACAAACTGCCTTGTAAATAGTCTATTATTAAACCCCATAGTGTGTGTGTGCGTGTTTGTCTCAAATTGGACTGCAAAACTGGAAATACATTCTAAAGAAGATACACAAATTGGTCGTCACTACAGAGTTAATTTATTCCTCCTGAGATTGCTCGTTTTAATGCACAAAATCAAATCATCTCAACACGGCAAATATTTGGGGAACCGGTCTTTCCACTATATCAGCTTTCACAAAGTGTTTTTGTGGTTGGATAAGACAGCTAAATATTCTTGAGTTGAAGTGCCCCTGTTATGTATATGACCTGCATGCAGTAAAACACTTCAGAGCAGTAATGATAGGTCAATCACCATGTACATTGTACTAGAGCAGATCAACAGAGCGATCACTCATCCCTGTAGTAATAATAATAAGAAAGAAAATCCCAAATTTTGGGTTGCCATCAGAAGAGGATTAGTTAGGAAATCTTCCAACACTAGTTCTGGTGACCCTGCTGACCACTTGTGTTCTCTCTCACTTTGGAGGGATTTCCTCTCGCTTCCGGTTGTGGCTGTTACACAGGAAGTTGCAGGAAATCTCTCCAATCATACACAGATGACAGTTGGAGGGCCAGAGTTTACCTACCCCAGTCTATGGCTTAAGGTGGCACTAAACTCATCTTAAAAATACATTTAAGTATACTATCAACAAACATGTATCTTATTTGTGTATCACTCGGCTGTAGATCCTCAAATCATCTCTGAATTGGTGCTGACACTGTCCTTCCTTTTGGAGGGGGGGCTACTTTTGTTCCCCATGGTCCCTGAGTGAGTCTTGTACAGTAGTCACCGCTCCAAGCTTGCTCCCAGGATGGACTACAATCTCAATACAAATTAGTAATCTAAACATGAGATTTTAGTCCATCACAGGAGTGATCTTGGAGCGGTGACTACTGTACAAGACTCACTCAGGGACCATGGGGAACAAAAGTAGCCCCCCCTCCAAAAGGAAGGACAGTGTCAGCACCAATTCAGAGATGATTTGAGGATCTACAGCCGAATGATACACAAATAAGATACATTTTTGTTAATAGTTAAAGGAAAGGAAACTGTCACACGTCAGACAGTTATGTGAGTGAACACATAACGTCGCCCGCTCACTTCTCGATCATCTCCATGCAGAGAGCAGTGACTGTCAGTCACCATTCCCCGCACCGATCCTCCAGCGCTGAGTGGAGGAACGGACATCCTCTAGATAGGCAGAGCCAGCTGTCATTCAGGCAGCTGCATGGATCTCGACAATAATGTCGGGATCCGTCCCGGCTGTGGCGGTCTCAGCAGCTCGCGATATACTGAGCTATGGGTCACGGGAGGAAGCTAGTATATGTCCTCCTGTGACCGATAGAGAACTATGGGGAAAAACACTTACCCCATAGTTCTCTTTTAAGGAACTTGGATGTATTTTTAAGATTTAACTCCTGAGTTTAGTGTCACTTTATGCTTTATTAGTTAATAACCTGTAGACTATTCGTAACTGTAATACTGAAACCACAAGTACCAGGTACAAGTACTAACAAAAGGTACCAGTGCTCCGTCACACATCATCCACTGTGCCAAGTATGGTGAGAGGAACATGTACCGTGGTAGCACTGATGTGGGTTCTGATTTCATTCTTGGCTCTGCCCCCACAGATGTCTCAGGGCAAAAACAGAAAACGAAAAGTTGCATACAGAACTTTAAATAATGGTTTTCCTGCATTAATTCATTCATTTACTCACAAGAAAGAAAAAAAGATGCACAACATAACTATTGCAATAATCAACCCCAGAGGTAGCAACCGCAATCTGTTTGTAAGGCAAATGCCCGGGTGCTCATCCACAAAAATATCCATATAAATCCAAAGCAGGTCTAGAGGCACTCACGGGTCTTGCCGCGGAGATAAGTTCAATCATCAGCATATTATGTTAACGTATCAATTGAGCTCAGTCCATCTTTATCAAGCAAGTCTTTATAACGATGGACTGAGCGCCGTTGAAACGTTGACAGTATGCTGATGCTTTGACTTATGTTTATTGCAAGTGCCTCTATACCTACTTTGGATTTGTACTATGATCATCAAGATAGTGTTGGAAAATGGGGATTTCAGAATATCATTCAGCTCAGGGTGGAGTTTGGGTGGTCTTTCAGCAGCTCGTCTACTGGCATTACCTCTTGCATCTTCCCTTCATTTTCTTTGTTGGCATTGTGCTTCTTGTCAAGTTTATCCTTGGTCTTTGGTCTGATATGACTGGCGGCATTGGCAACAAACGCACTGTTTACATCCCACTCTGGTTCCTGCTAAGGGAGAACAAAAGTATGAACGGTCTGACGTGTAGGTTGGTGTTCTGTTCAAGACAAGCAGACACTTGCTCAGAAGGTCTCTCAGGTACGCAGCCTTTGATAGAACACCTTTCTATTAGTTCACTATGAGAAAGAATTGTGAGATATGCCAGTGCGCGGGGATCAAATATACCGCAGCAAGTCAGTCTCATCCAGAGTCATACATTCCTCCAACAGGCCCTCACGCTCATAACACAACTGAGTTACAAACCAACAAAGGGACCATTATAACCAGTTACATGAGGCCTATTCATTAAACTATGCATAGGGAGAAAAATCCAGGACACAAGACTCTTTCATGATCATATGAAATTAATAAAACATTTCACAATTAAAAGAACATATGTATTTAGTGGCAAAAAGATAGCTCAAGATGTAAAGTTTATGAATACAGAGGCAGCTAACATGGATAGCGTTAAAAAATGTTGTGGCCTGAGGGTATTTATAAAGCATTAAACAGGTGAGACATAATAATTATGGCAATTAGAGGAGATTTATTCCTATGACACTTCACTATGATAAAACTGTAATTTAAATAAAAGTCATCATGTGTAAGGGCAAATGTAATTCCTATCTGGAGGGCTTACACAATGAAAGGATGGAAAGAATTCATTCAGACAAGAGCGGAGGATATATTTACCAGCAACTTCAAAATGCGTTTATATGCAAAATGTACAGGCACGTCACATATAAAGCCGTTTACATACATTTAGGTGACCTTCTCTGAGTGTACAGAGAGATCCTTTGCATTCTCTACATTCAGAGAACATAATCTGTTCCTGGACGCAATTGATTTCTTCTAAATGCAATTAAACTGAATGCACCAGAATGTAAATAAAAGCACAGTGTGCAATAAACCTTTAAAATCATTACATGCATTTATATGTGTTTAGAAATGTCCAATTCCTGCATATTATTGCATATAATCTCATGTATGTAATGGTCCATAGAAAACAGACACTCGAAACGGGATCAGTCCAATTAAATCAATTTATTCCCCAAAAGGTATAAAAACAGTCAATAACGAAGTTAACATACATTGAGGTTATTGGGCTGGTCCAGTTTTGAGTGCGGGTTTTCTATGGTCTTTTGGATACAAGGCTTAGGCAGAAGCCTTACCTGGCACCAAGGTTTCATTAGCGTGAGTAGCGAGAGTTGAGCCACTCCATTTCTGTCTATTATCTCATGTATATAATGGCCATGTAAATGAGGCCTTGGTGTCCAGATGAATGTATATTTTTTTGAATGGTTTCATGTAGTACAGAGAGTAAAAAAAACAGACTACCCATGTCTGGGTTACAAAAACAAAGTTGGAATATATATCCTCACATATTTCAAGGACTTTATTGTATCCAGAAGTAATGGACTTCACATGTGGATGTAGATCAATGAGGGAGTTGTACATCACTAGTGAGATTTAACACAGGATCTTCTATATGTACACATTTTATGAGATGTACTAGCACGTTTTTTTTCCCATGTTTATTATGGTTTATAGTGTCTAGACCATTAGACACTATAAACACTATTAGACCTTTTTCTTACCATCATCAGCACACGCATTATACAAAAGACGTGCGACCGTACAGTAGAAACCGTCACACGTCTTCGTTCACACTGCTCGATTCTCGTACAATCGCGGGATTTCCTGCGATTCTCGTACGAGAATCGCAGGAGTATGGGCACCTTAAGATGACCTGAAATGGCAAGGTGCCATGGGCGCATGCGCAGGAGTAACATAATCAGTGGCCACCCAATGGGCAAAGAGGATTCCCACAGAACCCAGAAGTGTCGGCATTGAAAATTGGAGGTGGCAGGGAGTGGGAGACCAAAGATGGGGTACACTTGTAAGATATATAACCCATATTGTGTAAGTATGTACATACTTGCAAAGTATAGCAAAGACTCCACCCAGCTCACAGTGGTTTACTACCACTTACCAGGCACAACAGTTATATACACTGTCTGTCAAAAAACAAATAGTCACACACTAAATGACCGAGTGCCCGACTTTTCAGAGGGGGCGACACCAAAATGACTGTCAGTCATTTTGGTGTCACCCCTCCAATAGTGTAACCCGGTTGCGGGAACTGCACCCCCTAGTGACGCCACTGGGGGCAGCCACCATAGACTCAGAAATGTACTGAAAGCCAAGTGCCGGATTTGTATTATCTACAGCCAATGTTCCTGTGTTAATAAATGAATAACGCAGATCAGCCCACAACAACTTACACCAAGATGGTTGGTATTTATTAGGGATTCCAGTCTAATTCATTATTTATGTCCTTTAGTTTCCCTATCTATGTTTTAGTTGTTAAGTAGTTATGTAGTAATTTTCTGCTTAATTTTGTTACAATGTTTGTGAACCTTTTTCCATGTATAAAATATTGAAGAGGATGCAAATGAATGTCTCTCTCTGGAGAACTGAAATGTTCCTAAATCAGAACCTACTGCCAAATAAAGAAAAAAAAAGTTAAAATAAAGGGGACAAATGAGTCAAGTCAGCTCCTCTGAAAATCTCTAGAGACTCTGGTGTTCCCACCTAACGCACAGAATTAAACTTTTCCTTCCTCGTGGAGCAGTTTTTCATTTCTGCTCTGTCACAGTCATTTCAAATATTTAACTATTCAAGGGCATCACAATGTTAACTATATTAATAAACATCTTTAATCTCATGGGAAAAACATCCAGCAAATAACTTTACAAAATGTGTGAACCCAAAAAATATTCTGAATTTCTGCATAAACGTTAACTAAAATGTGATCTCATTTTTATCTAGGATATTATGTATGTATGCAGTATATAGAAATATTATTTAAAGCTGAATTCCAGGAATGATCTTTATGGATACCTACATTGCTCCAGCTTAGCTCAGTGTATCCATATCTGATCTCCGGAGGGTGCTGGGGATGCTGAAAATCACTGAAGTTGCCCGTGCTCCATACAGTGATAGCCGTGATCGTCCTGGTGGAGTCACTCGCTGGGCACCACCAATCTCTATGTAGCGCTGACTACTACAGTGATTTACAACATCCCCAAAGACCCTTCGGAGATCAGATATGGATACCAAGGATGCCTACCCCGAGCCAGGATGAACTCCCTTGTGTTTATCTCAGGGTTGTCATAGCTGACTGAAATGCACATTAAAGAACCATGTCATCACACAACCAAAAAATTACTTGCCCTGCTCATTGTTAAATTATGAGTGGGATTTTCATACAAGGCTCCTATACATTCATATGATCATCTATTTTACCATACATATCCCAATATTTAACAAAAAATAGTTGTTCTCATAAAATGATTTACATAGCTTTTCTTGAACTTCTTTTATCTACTTTGCTATTCAACTATTATCAGCTGCAGTGCTGGTTTGCAGAGTACTAGTCTTTTTTTGTGTAGTTATTTACAGTATGTTTCTACAGTTCAAGTTTTTATACATTTATTCCATGTATTCCAAAATCTTCCCACAATCCAAAACATGGGATGCACGGATATAAACCTACATTGGCTGTAAAGTGTGTAAGACTTATTCACGTACATTAGGCCAACCTTTCTCAACCAGGGTTTCAGGGAGTTGCGGCTGATTGACCTCCCATTTGTTGGTGCCTCAACGTTCCAGGGCCAACACCAATTGGGAAACCCAGGAGCGTGATGCCAATTATCTTTTTAGCTGCCTGTAAGGATGGCATTCTGACCACCAGTAGGCCAATTCTTCCCACTGACCACCAATGGAAGGTGCATTTTGCACACTGACCCTGATTAAGAGCTTCTAACAGCAGTTCCTCTAGACAACTGGGAATTATTTTAAGGGTCCCTCTTGGGTGAAAAGGTTGTGAAAAGCTGCATTAGACTGTATTCTCAACCTGGCCAGGGACTGTTGTACATGGATCATCGTGCTCCATATAGAGTGGTGAAATGAAGTTATATAAACAAGACAGATTGAAAGACAGCCATCTAAATACCTGCTCTTTCTCTTCAAGATCTTTTTTCTTCTCAAGCCTTTTACGTTCTCTTTGTCTCTGAAGGTAGAGGTAAAGCTTAATTAGCTACTCCTTCCAATAATGGCTTAGCCACCACAAAATCATATCATAACTACCGTACATAGCATCCCAGAACATAAACATGTTTGGTAAATAACAATTTTCATTACTTTAAACACTGAGTACATTGTAAAAATGTTATTTACTGCCGCTATGTACACAATAATAGGATAGGGAAAAAAAAGACTTCCTCAAATATTTATAAGGCTCAAAGTACAAAAAACAGAACCAAAAAGTTCCAACTTGCAACCAATAAACAAAATGTAAATGCCCCGGAAATGGTACCACCGCCTGTATTATATATTATACATCCTGAGCTGTAATTCTTATTCTGTATCAATACTTAAAGCAGACCTTTTCTCTCCTCACCCCTACCCTCTCCTCTATTTTTTATTATTTTTTCAGGGAACCCTCCATATAATCGTCATTCTCCGCTAGCCGAGAATGACGTTGCAGTTGCCTGCAGCCTCCTGGAATGCCTATGACATGCATCCCAGAAGGCCTTAGGGTACTCTACTGCGCATGTGCCATGGTGCATCATTAGGGTGTTGGGTGTCTCTTCCAGGTTCTTGCAGCCGGCCCCTTGATAACGCACCACATAAGAAGGGTGGATGCAAATCCCAGAAGATAGAGCCAAGTCCTAATGACATCAGAGAAGAAGATGGTGTGGCACAGGACCAGGAGTCAAGCAGCGGAGCGTCAGAACCCTACAGAACACCGCTGGGCACGTATGTATTTTTCTAGATAAGGTATGAAAAAAAGGGTATGGGGTGGGGGGAATAACATTTCTTATTTGAAGTATATCCAAGCCAAACTTTTTTGTTGTTTTTAAACTTTTGCATGAAGTAGTGTATGGCTAGAACCCCCTTTTTTGCGGTCCTAATGGGTAGAATTCCAATGTCTCCTTGTCCTAATGACACAAAAGGAAGTGAGAGGAAACCCAAAGCAACAAGCATTCCTATTTAAAGATTTCCCTTCACCTTCTTTTCCCATAACAATTATAACATTTTGCCTTTTCCATCATTTCTTGTTCGGTGACAAATAGAGGGGATGAATCTCTCCAAAAGGTTCTTAGACAGCAATAAAAACCTGACTGCGGTTCCTTCGTTACTCCATCCAGGACTAAAAAACGTGTTTGCCTTTAGATACACTTTAACAACAGATAAGACTCTATAAAATAAAAATGTAACAAAAAAGGAAGAAAGCAAAGATCATAAACCCCAAGAGAAGTACACTTCTAGAGAAATGTCTGTGGATTTGGTGCTTGGCATTGCAGAGAAGGGATAGGGTTATGGTAAACCTTATGAAGGGCTCTTTGTCTGTAGTTACCAATGACTATATGACAAGCTCTGAAAGACTAAAGCTGGGCAAATAGCATTTGGTTTCTGTCAAAGCATCCTTTTTATACAGACAAGTGTCCTATTCAAAATTGAACCTTACCACCACTTTGAGTGCCAAAGCCAATGCACAGTGAAGGTGTTCCGAGTTAGCAAAAATAAGCACAAAACAAGGCTACATTTCCAGCAGAGATGCACTTGTATTGCACTGAGGATACACATCCCTTTGTACGTAGTATGCTTTAATTTCCACAATACCAAGAGGTATGGAATGGAAAAAAAATAGTTATGTTATCTATTCCAGATCACTCAGTTTCCACCAAACTTTATTATTACATCATTTTCAGATGACCGATACGGTAACTTCAGTTTCTGTGCAAAAATATTCCAGAAACTAAAGCTCACAAGCTAATATAAAGCTTGGTGTCTTCAAAAAACATCTCTTAGAATGCACAATGATCCTCCAACAGTCTGTCCTATGAAAACAACTTACCTTCTTCTTGGCTCTGCGTTTCTCCGCTTTTTGTCTAGTCTGACCATCATCTGACAGATCATCATCAGAGTTTATTTCTTCCTCCTTCAAGAATATAAACACGTAAAAGTACATAGACATTTTTAAGGCTCAAAGTCTCTAGTGAGAAATGGACAGTTCTTGAGTTTTGGAATTGTTCCATGTCAGGAACCATCAGCCATTCTCACCCAGAGCTTTTCTAACATAATAAAATGTTGGATCGGTTCAAACATTCAATCCCTTAGGTCATGGACTAGAAATTGGCCAGACAGGAAGAAACAAATCTTCCTAGGGTTAACGTGACAAACTCAGGAGTTAAATCCTAAAAATACATTCAAATACCTTAATTATTAACAAAAATCCTTCTTATTTGGGTATCACTCGGCTGTAGAGCCTCAAATCATCTCTGAATTCATGATGAAATGTGTCTTTCCTTATGGAAGGTGGCTACTTTTGTTCCCCATGGTCACTGTGTGTATTGTAAAGTAGCCACCGCTCCAAGCTCACTCTCTGTGATAAACTACAATCTCGTGTTTAGTTTACGAATTTGTATTGAGATTGTTGTCCATCACGGGAGTGAGCTTAGAGCGGTGACTACCATGGGAAACAAAAGTAGCCACCCTCCAGAAGGAAGGACAGTGTCAGCCCCAATTCAGATATGATTTGAGAATCTACAGCCGAGTGATACACAAATAAGATACATTTTTGTTAATAGTTAAGGCACTTGGATGTATTTTTAAGATTTAACTCCTGAGTTTAGTGTCACTTTAACCTGAACCCATTCTTATACTGTAATGTGCATGTTACAGTATTAGCTTATATAGTCAAGAAAAAGAAACCTTCAAAAAAGTTGATCTATCTGGCTGACAATTTGCCGCCAATACCCCTTTGCAAGCAATCTCAGACAGTTAAAACAGACCTAAACCTAAAAACAGTATATTGCAGCTTATTGCAGATGTGGTGGATGCATTCATTTTTACTAGTCAGGCTAAAAAAAATTTCAGTACAGAAAATATCTATTGATATTTCCAAAAGTATGGTGTCCTTGTCATTTCCTGTCCGCTGGCAAAAAAAACTCCACAAACATCCTTATCTATCTTGTGTAAATTACCAATCCCATATATCCACCATGTAATGCAGATGAAGACATTTTAAAGTCTACCCTGCATGACCACCATGGGTCCTTCCATTGATGCAGTCAAGAAATAAGTTGAGCCACAAAGGGACAGGAAGTGTATTATTTGCTGGACCTCCAGATGAAAATAAAGGGGGAAAAGCTGGAAAAAAGAAAAACAAATGTACACAGCACATCTAAGAAATGGTAAGCAGCAATATATTACATGTTTGTTCTTCGAATCTAGATAAGAGTGGTACTACACCCACTAATTGGGGGTGCAAACTGTTGGCACTATGTAAATTCTGTATCATGCTAATAATAATCACCAAGAGGAAAGCCCAATTATGTGAACTGTCAACATCCCATGACTGGCTCTTCCTCAATCACGGAACTCTCTTGGCTCCATTGAGCATGAGGAACCCCTTGGGGCTCTGCTGGCTACAAACTGCAGCCAGATTTATATGAATGGGTGGGCCGCTGTGTGCATAGAAAAGTGCAGGATAATGGAGAACAGATGGTTATATCCACGCTCTATTATAAATGAGCCCTAACGTGCTGAATATAGAGCACCTGCATGACAGTCAGGCAACTAGCATTTTCTGAAGGAAGCCAGTAAAGGCAGCATCCCTATTTCTTCCTGCACAGGTTTCCTTTAAAAGCAGAAACGTTCTCCTCTTTTCCCACAGATAAACATATGGCCATACCTGTAGGTTAAGATCCTTCCTGTGCATTATCTCATTCCTGCAGCTATGGCTGCCTTCAGACGTTTCAAAGTCCATTGCATTCTCCGATTTCTCAAGGTGATGCTTTATGATGGAAGGAAGGAAAAAAAAGTTTTGTTAGAGAATTCACGCCCTGAACTCTTGCCTCCTTCATTATGGATCAGAAATCTAATGAATAATGAACTACCTACCTGGAACTGAAGCATCTGTCTGCAATGCACACCAAATGACTATATGCACGCAGCTCTGGATACGTTTACGCAGCATAAGCAGAAAAGTTCATTGAATGTTTAAATAACGTATTAGCAAGATCTTCGGAACTTTGGAAATACCAAGGTCAAGACTGACTAAATTCCAGGAGATAGATAGTAATGGCACGGAAAATAGTACTGGCATTTAAAGGGGAACTATAAAGGATTTGCGTTGCTGTTACTGGAGACCCAGGCACTATTTTAAAACGGTACTGGTTCAGCAGTTTCATCCCAGTTACTGTTTAAAAACCGCGCATGGTCTCACTGGCTGCTGCAGGTCCCACTGGAATTTGTTTCAATCAAATTCTTTTTTTTAATGTTTTTGTTTTTCCATTAACAAACCACTTACAGTATACAAACAAAAAGAACTACCCAGCCTGTTTCAATCCTTGCACCAACCAGTAGTGCACATCGCTCCAACAATGAACAACAGAAACCTCCATACCGCTACCAATACACGTGTGGTCAACTATTGGTTCAATACAGATATGGATAATAATTAGCATTATTGTCAAAAGCTGGGAAAAAGCAAACAATAAAAGAGCATGATAATGAATATGCGCCACCATTCTGAAAGGGAACAAAATGGGATGAGATGAGGTTTTACCCTCCTTTACATATGCCCTCTGCTTGAGAAACCCATCTGGCATTCACCCAGGAGCCCAAGATCGAATCAAGTAAATAGTTATTCCAAAAAGGGGGGGGCAAATAATTTTTTTTTTTTAACATTTAAGTCAGATGCCTGTGCCTTTTGCCTGTACCTATACAGTGATGGGCAGTGATCCAGAGTGCTTCCAGGTTCACTGCACTGCACGAGATCTCTCCTCTGTGCGCTCAGCCAGCCATCCTGAAATGGGGAAGAGAGACTCAAACGTCCCCTGCTGCCCAGATCACATCTACTTCAAAGCCAGGAGCCTGCTAATAAAATTTACCACCAAAAGCTATTTTCAGTAGGTAGACTCTACTGGAGTCCTAAGTGATAAAGAACCAGTAGGTTAAGCAGCTCAGTAGATTGCTCTCCCGCCATAATGTGAAACACATCTGACGAAGACTACAAGTGGCCCTATCAACATACATCATGTTGACACAGTCCTCCGTTGCCTCCAACAAAACCAGGGCCGGCGTTTGCCTCCAACAAAACCAGGGCCGGCGTTTGCCTCCAACAAAACCAGGGCCGGCGTTTGCCTCCAACAAAACCAGGGCCACTGTTGTTTTAAATCAGGCAAACTCTGCTCATATCCTTGTCTGTATGAAATCTTTTAAAAGCCAAACGTCTGAGGTCTGCTATGACATGTCTTGTGAAGCTTCATTCCTGACAGTCTGCACAACAATCTGCTGAAACCGGATGCAGCAATGAAAAAATGTCTGACACTTTACTGATAAATGAATGACTAGCGCCAAAGACAATCCATCAAGCTTAGGAAAGCCTTCTGATAATCTGTCATACTCCGTGTATCTTTGTTTGGCCACTTTCAGTACCGCAAATATTAATTGACTAATCTGTCACTCTTAAACTAAACAGCAAATGCACTTCACAGCGAGCACGCCCGGTTATGCTGGGTTACAGGTGCCTGGCAACATGTTACTACTAACGTTAAAAGGGATGCCATATTTTTTCTTCCTATTATTTATTTCAGGGTGGGATCATGAAACAGAATCGGGTCTGAGAAACGCTGTCAGCATGTTTTTAGCAAATGTGGCAAAATTAAGTACTACACGACCACCAGAGCAAAACCTCACACACTGTATATAGATTCACAGAATAACTTTGTAACGGTTTTCTGTATTCAGAGGAAAATTACAACTTATTTAAGGTATACCTGAAGCAGTAGTAAGCATCTGTATGCTGGTTATGTGTGTATTGCATATAATAAA